TCTGGTGTTGGTTAAATAAAATGAACCACATGGTGGGCTGTGGGTGCATGGTTTTGCTGGTCGCACCCATGGCAGTTAAGGACCGGTTCGCGGGATGCCCTGGAAGAATTTATCGTACTTACCACAAGCCAGCGTGGGCAACGGCTGGGCTTGTAGTGTAGCTTTCCTCTAGTCGACGCATCCAGGCAAGGGTGGGCGTGATGGAGCGGGGCGGGCCCTGCGACGGCCTCTGTCGCTTCCGGATTCACCTAGGCACGAGAGGGGACTGCCCGTTGCCCGCTGGGGACGGGGGTGAAACCTGAGGTGTGGTGTGCTTGGCTAGAGGGGGTTATGCGAAGGGTCCTGTCACGGCCTCTTTCCGGTATGTCGTGGTGGCATGCCGGCGCACGGAAACGTGTCGTGGGGCTGTGTCTTGTGGGTACAGTTGTACACCTCTGATCAGAGTAAAACTATTCGAATAGCCGCGCCCGCGGTTATGGGCGGTCAACCAGATTCACCGTGATTAGAATCACATTAGTTTAGTCTAATGAATTTGGATGGTATAGGTGGTTGGTTGGGCCTGTTGCAACGTGGTGTAGCGTTGGACAGTGGATGATTAATACTGCTTAATTTTTACAACTGTTTAAATCTTTCAATCTCTGTTTATAAATGCTCGCTTTATGCAAATGAACCACTTTAGCTCTTCTTTGATGATTCCCTGCATCATACCTCTATTCCGGTATGACTTGCTGAGTACAGTGGGTAGTACTCAGTCTTGCTCTATTTTTCCCAACCCCAGAGTTCGAGTTCGGGTCAGATGAAGGTTTCTCTGAGGAGTAGGCTTCGTCCGTGCCGTCGAGGATGCCTGTGGAGTGGTGTTCCCGCTGCAGTTTAGTCAAGGATTAGCTCCAGTTTCTTCTGTTTTCCGCTGCATTTATGTAAGACTTTACGATGTTTGTAAGACGTGGATCTGTATGTCAACATTGTCGTTTGTGTACCCCGGCTGGTCCTGGACGGGGATTTTAATGCACATTCTGCTTGGAATTCTATTCGGGAATTTCTGGGCGTGACAGCTCCCAACTCCATTTTGCTTCCCAACTACAGCAAGAAGCCCCAAGGCTTGTCATCAACTAACTCACAACAGTGCATAGTGATCCTTGAGTACTACTCTACCATTGCATTGTATCCTCATTATCAATCATATTCTCCTAAATTAAGTACACTACCTTGGTAAGTTGTAATATAATCTCAGTAGTTTGGTCACACAGACCATCCTAATTCCTAAACCAAGGAATATTATTATGATCCGACCTTAGATCCTTATATTGTGTTTTCACACCCATATTGTGCTACATTTTGCTAGGAATGAGCTCACCATTTATTGGATGTGGATTTGCTGCCAATATATTGGCAAAAGCAAGCTTCGGTAAACCAACATCTACTCCAAATGTAACAGTGCGGTGCAACAAAATTCACCTGAGCTTTGTTTTCCAACCATGCACGGCCTGCAGCCTGAGTTTTGTTTTCAACTCATACAGCACAAATAAGGTATATATAAATTTCCCCAGATATCACAGCAAATTACCTGTAGGCTTAAGATGTTTGGAGATCCCAGTGGAAAGGAAGCAACGCATAAAACCAAGGTGACTCATGCTATGAAGTTTCTCCAGTTCTTCGAGAACACGTGCCCTCATGTTAAGAGTGAATACCATCTTGGCTGCTCCCCTTGTGGTGGGGAGTGGTATACCTTTTTCTTCCAAATTCGATGCAAATAGTTGTGAAAAAATCTGAAAAAAAAATTGACAATGTAGAGTATAATGATACCTACTAGTCCACCAAAATTCATGTTCAAATTCGATCTACACATCGAGAAACAAAAAAGACAAATTTAGATATAAACAGTACTCTACTATTCATACGCTGAATTTGTCTTTTTTATATCTCGACGTGTGAGTTGAGTTTGGACTTAAGATTTTGTGAAGTTGTATATATGTGTTGTATGAATGTTGTCAAATTTTTCCAGAATTTTTCATAACCATTTAGATGGTTTTTGAGCAAACGAGGAAACATCTCCTCGAGGGATTAGAATAGTTTCCACTTGTGGTGCGCTTGGATAGCAAGTAAACAACATCATCATCATCAGCGATGCTCAGGGTAGGGTAAGCCGTGTGAAGACTCTCCACGGATATGGCGGCATTTTTCCTCTTGTAGTCTATTTTCCTCATGTAACTATGCAGGGCAGTGTCCAAGTGGTTGGAAGTGACGGAGCATCCAGGCTTCCAGTCATCCCATGAGTGACCGGGATAGGCATGTTCCATGTGTTGATCTTCAAGCTACCATCATCGACCAAGATGTCTAGATGCGAACTTCGAAATTCTTGGCTGGCCACCCATTCGTGATACGAGGAGCGTGGATCTTGAGATGAGTTCAAGATGGTGAATTCCATCTCGACGTACTTGATAGTGTCTCTGCTCTGGTTGACGACGATGTCACGACAATAGTAGGGGCAGCGATTGAGGAACAAAGGCCAGTTGCCCGTAGAGGGCAAGGGCAGCGGCAAATCGCGGAGCTTGGGGCTCTCAATCTCGTCGAGCACATCACAGAGAAGGATGCCTCGCCAGAGATCAACCCAGCCAACTGTACCTTTAGCACCTCCAAGCGTAATCACCTTGGTGGTGGCATGGAAGATCCTCCTCAGTGCTGAGTCAGGGACGGGGCACACCGTTCCCCTCAGCGGCTCCTCCACTGTCAACTGATGGGAGGTCCAACTCCCTGGCTTTCCATCGGGGGTAGAGCGACACAGGTGAAGCCTGAAGTGGACATGATGCAAGGGTTGAAGAGCGGCCACAGCGTAGGAGTCGTCGTCGTCGTTGCCGCAGCTCAGTATGGCAATGTTGTCGTCTGCAAAGCCACGGCCACGTGGGCTCGGGAGACGGTGCAGCTTTGCGCTTTCAGAGTGAGAGTGCACCTTGTAGACGAAGTAGTCGCTGAAACAGTGATCAAATCTGGCAAAGCGATCGACAGGGACACGAAGGAGGACGAGGTCGGCATCCGTGCTGATCACCGTGGGCGCCACAAACTTATCTAAGGGATTGGGATCCAGATCCACCAGACCAGGGCAGTCGACGGAGAGGTGCGAGAGGCTTGGCGGGGTGGCGGCGCACAAGGTCACCGAGATTGGCAGGCCGGTGCTCGTCGTGGAAGTGGCGGTGGTGGCGTCAGGCCGGTGGTCATCGTCGGCGACGTGGCCCCAGAGCTCGAGCAGGACGACGCTTGGGATATTGTCCTGGTGGCGGCGGCCCTTGCCCTCGCCGCTTCCGCTTGCCATGGAGCCAGCGGTGGCCAATCGCGGCGGATTTTTGGCGGAATAATTTAGATTAGGAAATTTATTCTCCCCGGGGACACAACTAGGGGGACGAATTCTTTTCGATTACGGCCACGCAAAAAAGCGTGATGGGCCGGTTGCCCGTAAAGTCTAATGGGAGTTCGGCCAGTTACCAAAATTGGTCCACGCGTTTTCAGACTTTTCTGTTTTATATGAAAAAAAACTAGTAAAATACCCGTGCGTTGTACCGGTAATATACCCAGTGGATAAAGTTTAACTGAAATTTTTTTTAAGCAACCTAGTATGACCAATAATAATCACAAATGTTTTTTTTTGGATAATTATTCCACTATGCACATGTATGATATGAATGATGTACCTGACGCGTTAGTGTAATGATCGTGTTAGTGTAATGATCGTATCATGGGAGCAACAAGTGAATGCCTCGGTCGCTTTCGTGCAAGAGGCGATGGAAGAAAATTTATGTGATTAACAAAAATATGTATTTAAAATAAGTAATTTTACCAATAATTAGAGGCAAATTAAACAAATATTAAAGTGGAAGTACCCATAATTTTTATGTCAACAATAAAACTTGAAAAAAAAATTAATATGATTTGTTTCAAGCAATTCTTCTATAGAAAACATTTACAAAAACACATCATTTAACAATTTTGAAAGCGTGCACGTGAAATATGAAGGAGTACAATTTTAAAAAGTGGACAATGCACCCTTAACTACGAGTCAGAGTCACTGGGCCTGTTTAGAAAAATTTTTGACAACTGCAGCTTCTCTCGAAATAAAAAGGCTTCTCCAAAATAATATGTACTTTCATTGAGATTCTGAGACGCTCTACATACATAATCTGAAACATGAACGAGCTAAACTCTAAGAAGCTGGGTTTCACAGCTCCTCCGTATTATTATATCTTAATTATCAAGTACTCCCTCAATTCCACACGACCACCCAAACCATCATAGTTTGGATTACCTTAATAAATATATTACATGCGCCTAATAAAATTAGAGATCTTGATGGTAGATGATTTAAATAATAATATTTTAATGAAAAAGATGTGCTAGTTAATAACATGCATTTATACACACCTTCTATTATGAAACAACTTAAATAAATGTAGTTATGTCTTATATTATATAAAATGGAAGGAGCAGTTGATTCTTAGAATCTTAGATTTTCCCAGACATACCATCTGACACTTTGCAAAGGCAATTCAGGTCTTGATTAGTTTTTAAATAAAAATTTTTCACCATGTCATATCGAATGTTTAGACATATGCATAGAGTATTAAATATAAAAAATATTAATTACATAAATTGTGTGTAGATTGCCATGATTTGACAATGTAATGCTACAGTAAATATTTACTAATGACGGATTAATTAGGCTTAATAAATTGGCCTCGCAGTTTTTAGGCGAAATCTATAATTTTTTTGTTATTAATCTATATTTAATATTTAAATATGTATCCGTATATTCGATTTTACATGTTAAAAAATTTGGTGTTCACGAACTCAAAAGGCCCTTAGAGAAAACCCTCGAAATCAAACAAGCAAGCAAGCAATAATGCAGTGCAAAGGGCCAAAAGGCATAATTGAGGCCACCCGTTGCAGTGAAAGGTTTGGTGGCCAGCGAAGGGCCGGACCACATACATGACCTCGCGTCCGTCTCACCATAAATCCGCCATCCCTCTCCTCTCCTCCCCACTTTCCTGCCTTCCTCCCCGCACTTCTTCCTTCCCTGCCCCAACCTCCCCTCCACCAAGAACAGCAGTGGAGAAGGAAGGAACGAACGAAGCGATCGGAGCAGCCCCCCGTCCCACCCTGCAAACCTGCATTGCTGCCCCCGGGTCATTCTTGGGTCGTGGGAGTCGGATTCGGGTTTCTTGGCAGCCGGCTGCAATCATCCGTGGTGCCTTCAAAGGTATCCGTCTTCTTTTTGCGCTGCGAATTGTGTCGTGTATGTGCGCTTCTTTGCTTTCTACCCAGTTGATTTTAGGCTGTTTCTTGGGTTGAGCACGAGTCTGCCATTTAGCCGTCGGAGGATTTGGGGTTCGATTGAAATTGGGGTGCCGGATGAAGCCCCTCGATGTGTTGTCAAGACCTGACAGAGCTGATAGGAAATATCATATAACATTTTGGCCGTGAATCTGACAAACACGGGGGAGAAGGCCAACGAGAAAATTGTCTTCCGTGGCCAACAGCTACTGATGAGTTTCCATCTAGCCTTCAGCGGTGGCTAGAATGCTAGATCGATAATCGACAGGTTTCCCCTTTGGATTGTCGGTGTTGCCGATGATATAGGGTAGTTTGTTTGCGCTAATTATGCAACTGAGCTCTCTTTCGTAAAGAGTTTTACCTTTTTTAAGTAGCATAAACAACAGAACAGGAATTCTTGTGTGGTCATAGGCTGTAGCAGGATTAAGAGAGGTAGAGAGACTATCAACTGTGAAACCATTTCTAGTATTGACGTTCTTAATTAACCCAGCTGGTATTACCTGTGTGTCAGTGTGTCTTCTGGTGAAACTGAATGAATCGATCTGTTAAATAGAATTTGCTGTTCAGATCTAGATTTCCTTTCTCTGCACAACCAATTTAGCCACTGGGCCCGCTACAATTTCATGGGCCTAAAACTATGCCTATGGTAAAAATATGGTGTACTTTTACAGAAAGTGCATCTCTCACTCAATTATATGTTAATCACATAGGGACAAACAAAATTTCCACTTGGAATAAAAAAAATACTGTGTGGTCCAATATCTACATTATATCACCTGAACCCCTAGGTAACCTCCATCTAATACGTGTTCGAAAACCATCATGCATGTTCACTTCCACATGGGCTTCAATTCATTTTTATTGAGTGTTCATTGACCATACTTATGTTGAGTGATACAGGTCAAGCTGTCAAGGATGCTTAGCATTCTTATTTACTAGTAATTGATTGCACATATTCTTGCTGCTAATTAATGTATCCAGCCAAATAGTTCAACTCCTTTCCATAAAACGTTTCTCTAGATATTTTTGTTTAACTGGTTAGGGACCTACTTCAGTAAATTGGAAAGCTGTAATTAAATCTACAGAATAAGTCATGCTGTTTTAGTGAATTCTCAGACTATCCACAATTCCACATCACTTATTGCCATAGGAAGAAAATTTCAGATAATCCACTGGGTTGATTTATCACTGGTTTTACCTTGTGCTTTCTCAGTGTCTCTGCTTTTTATTGTAAAAAAAATTCCTTTAAAGGTTTAGGTGATCTACTTTGTTCTACATACCTTTCCTACCAAACTTTAATAATCTGCTGATAAGGACAACAGTAATGGAATCCATTACTGCAGTGGGCCTTAATAATAAAATTATACCTGATTTCTAGTCAATTAAAGTATATATCTAAAGTACTGATTGCTATATTTTTATTTTTATCAAGATATTTACATCATCATTTTTTGGCCATGCGGTGTCTACATACTATAAGGTTTTAAGCCAACAAATGAGATATATTCTGATTTTCTCTTTGGCAGAGTTTGTTTGGAAAATTTTGCCAAATGTTTATATGGATGCATTTCCTTTGTCTTTAGGTGCACATGTGCACATGTGCTGTTTGCTTGCTTTTGTCCAAAATATGATTTGGACTTACTGGAGTTTGAATTATCAATTATGTTAATTGGCCACATACCTATCCATGTGCATGAGTGCATCGCTGTTCCTAGCTTTTCTTTTTCCTGAGTGGATGCTGCTTCTAGCTAGGTGAATTGTTCACATTCACACATCGGCCCAGGGCATGTGTTGGCCCAACTTGAGATTAGGCTTTGCCACACCCCTAAGCCCAACCTTCATTGGACCTGTACCTTGCTTCAAAGGCTTGAAAAGTAGCCTCATCCTGCTAGACCAAGCTTATAGGGAACAGATAGACACATCTACACACACAAACTGACCCTGGTAATCCATTAATTGACTCCACATCTACCTTCATGGCTACAACATCTGTCTTTCCTTTCATCTGCATGTGCATTTTGTTTCTCAATTAGTTTACGAAGACAGACATTTTTTTCCACCCATCACTTGTGTATCTGCAATATTTGCTTTCACTTTTGAAACATTGTAATCACGCTACTTTGTTTCTGCCAAATAGTTAATCATGCTTTATTGTCTGTATTGCAGTATTGCAAGTTGCCGTGAAAGGCCATTCTAGGGAATGCAGAAAGATGTGCTTGCACGCCAGAGATATCTCCTATGAAGAGAAGGGCATTTCTCCCATTGATTTGACATCACTAATTCTTGATGAGCGAGGATTTCAGTTGCTCACCTGGTGCATTCTGCAATCACAAAGTAATAATGATGCTATCAATGTCAGAAATACTGCTATGCTAGATCATGCAATTTCTGATGATGGTTGAAGTTTTTGCTTTTACGGTTTTCCTCTAAAATTCCAATAAAGAATTGTCCGCTAGCATTGTTTTGAATGATGGAACTTGAGAAGAATGGAAACATTCTACTGCGAAGGTATGAGATTGGAAAATTATTGGGGCAAGGAACTTTTGCCAAGGTTTATCATGGTAGGAACATCGTGACTTCACAAAGTGTGGCTATCAAGGTGATCGACAAGGACAAAATTTTTAAGGTTGGCCTAATGGATCAGATTAAACGAGAGATATCTGTGATGAAATTAGTGAGGCACCCCAACATTGTACAGCTGTATGAGGTCATGGCTACCAAATCGAAGATATACTTTGTGCTAGAATATGTCAAGGGCGGTGAGTTGTTTAACAAAGTAGCTAAAGGTAGGTTGAAAGAAGATGCTGCAAGGAAATACTTCCAGCAATTAGTAAGTGCTGTTGATTTCTGCCACAGTAGAGGCGTTTATCATCGCGATCTGAAGCCAGAGAACCTACTTGTTGATGAAAATGGAAACCTGAAAATTACCGATTTTGGATTGAGCGCTCTTGCTGAATCAAGACGACAAGATGGCCTTCTACACACAACTTGTGGAACTCCCGCATATGTGGCGCCTGAGGTGATCAGCCGAAAAGGGTATGACGGTGTCAAGGTTGACACATGGTCTTGTGGTGTGATCCTGTTTGTTCTGATGGCTGGTTATCTGCCTTTTCAAGATTCAAATTTGATGGAGATGTACAGAAAGATTGGGAAAGCAGAGTTCAAATGCCCAGCTTGGTTTTCGTCTGATGTACGAAAATTAGTTTCGAGAATTCTTGATCCAAACCCAAGAAGTAGAATGCCAATTACAAAAATAATGGAAACTTACTGGTTCAAGAAAGGACTTGATAGCAAGCTAATCCTTAAGAACGTGGAGACAAATGAACCAGTTACAGCTCTTGCTGATGTTAATGTTGTTTTCTCCTCCATGGGTAGCAGTAGTAGCAAAAAGACTGAGGAGAAACAGGATGCAGGAAAGCTAACCAACCTTAACGCTTTCGATATTATTTCTCTTTCGGAAGGCTTTGATCTTTCTGGCTTGTTTGAGGAGACTGATAAAAAGAAAGAAGCAAGGTTTACATCAAGTCAATCAGCTTCAGCTATTATCTCAAAACTAGAGGATGTTGCCTCATGTTCGAAGTTGACAGTGAAAAAGAAAGAAGGTGGTGTGCTGAAAATGGAAGGTGCAAGTGAAGGAAGGAAAGGTGTATTGGCAATCGATGCAGAGATCTTCGAGGTGACTCCTTCATTTCATTTGGTAGAAATCAAGAAGAACAATGGAGATACACTAGAATACCAACATTTGTGGAAGGAGGACATGAAACCAGCTCTTAAGGACATTGTTTGGGCTTGGCAAGGTGAACGCCAGGATCAGCAACCTGAAGATCATGGCCAGCCATAGAATTGTTTCAATGTCGAAATGTTTCGTTGCCTTAGGAAAGGCACTGCTTATCCTTTTGCTTATTATTCGTTCTATCTTCTGTCTTCCCAAAATCCATAGCTCAATGAAATTCGCACAACAATGTAATTGGATTCTAAGGAATCTGAACTTATAATGCAGTGTAATACTAGTTATTTTTTGTTGTTGGCAGTTCAGTGTTCGTAATTGAAATACATCAAAGGATAAGCTACCTCACATCGTCGTCTGGATGAACATAGCACCTACTTAATATTTGAGTACTTTCACATGTTTTTGTAATGTGATTGCTGATTACAGGATATTAGGCATACAGTGTCAACAGTGGTACTTACAGAGAGTTGCAGGTGAATCTTTGAAAGTTGCAATTGTGTTTAGAAAAGCCGAGGATTTCAGAAATTTAATTGTGTTTAGAAAAGCCCAAGATTTCAGAAATTTGAAGCACTCAGTTAATTCTCATCATTTTGCCTGTTGGACAAATGATTAGTCATTTAGTTGCTCAACTCTACCTCCTTTTCTTTTCAGGACTGCACTACTTATCTTTTTTTTTTTTGAAGGATTGCATCCTTTTCATCCTTGACAGATCACTAGCACTAGTTATAAAAAATACTAATGAAAAACATTTCTATCCTGACACTAGTAGTTGTACTCCAAAAGCAATGGAAAAATTGGTTGCTTGTCGGTAGTAGCTGCTATATAAAAAAAAATCAGTGTGACTTTGCTGGTTGTCAATTTCCAATTGCTGTCACTTGTCTGTAAAAAGTCATCAATCAACAAAGGCAAAGGAACAACAGCTAATAATGAACTAAATTAAGTAACTTCAAATGAGGGAGCACTGCTATAGTGCTATGCTACGAGTCCTTTTCTTTTTATTCTCCCTTTTTGTTGGAGGAACCAGTAGCCAAGCCAGTAGGTAAAGAAAAGCTGCTTTTATCATACTCATCCTTGTGGAACAAATAGCAAAGACATCCTTTTATTTTGGCTTACAAAAACCTTATCTTTGTTATGTAGTTTGCTTTAGACTGGAACCCTGATTCATTCAGAGTATCACCCTGGCCCCTGACCCTGATGGAGTGATGTGATGTAATGGGATCATCCAGAGAGAAGTGAGTGGACCAAAGTTATATATATGCTCATGGAATCTATAATGTTATGCTCTAGAGGCAGATATTTGTGCACATCACACTAGTAGCAGAGGGAATGCTTATCTTCATGAAATGTGGCAAGGGGACAAACAAGAGAGCCCTACCTGTCCATTCAATGTCAAATTAACAGGAATCCTGTCTCAGGACTAAAATTGTTGGGGTCTTTAAAGCCTTGTCTGGGGCATGGAATTATTTCTTTTTTTTATGATTCATATAGGAATTGATTTTTTTTTTGTGAAATCCTCTTGTTCTGAATGGTTCTCATGAGCTAAAGGCCGTGAGCCTTGGAGCAAGCTCACAACTCACTTCATGTTTAATTAGAGTACCTTTACGGTAGTCTCTATTGGTAGTATATGGCTCAAATACTCTAGATATCCATGCCTTTTGAGAAGCTCAAACTTGAATTATAGTATGTCAGTGTTGTTCGAAACTCGGAACTGAAATATGTGAAGTGTATGAATTAAATCTCCCAAGGTGCTACAAATTAAATCCTAACGTCGACAATATATGCCGTTCACTGTAGAGTTTCATTTAATAAGTGAAACTTCTGCTTGAGATTGGCCTTGAGCCTCTGGTCCAAAACCCACCAATGGTCAAGAAAATGGAGGTCACTTTCTCCATCGTTTGCAAAAGCTACTTTGATTGGCATTGCATTGATCATCAACATAACATGGTTCTGCAAGGGCCACATCATCATCGTCATCGTCATCGTCATCGTCATCGTCATCGTCGTCGTCGTCGCAGTAGTATTTGACGGACAAAACAGTGGGAATCAAGGCATCACCAACTCAAGCGTGCTGAGAGCTACCTGCATATAGGTGCTTGGAGTCTCAGTGAGTGCTTCACATCAGTTGCAACTTGCAAGTTGGCCAGTGCCGTGAGAAGGGAGGGAAAGGGTTTTTTTTTTTCTCTTTGTTTTGTTTCTTTCAGAGGCAGACAGATTTTGCTGGTTCAGTTAGCTGTTGCCTTGGGGAAAAGGAGCTTTCAGGGCTTGTTTGGATCATTTGTTTTGAGCAGTGGAGTTCACTATCGCCGATATGGGCTAATAGCTAGTCTTTTTTGCTTGCTCAAGTAAGTGCTTGCAAGAATTTCGTGGAAAATAGTTCGACTTGTGTAAGTATCCGGGGAATTTCATGTGGTCCAAGCAATTATTGAACCGATAAAAGAGATTGGCTTCAGTTTTTGGCTTCTGACTTGCTTTCGATCGAGACATTTCTTTCGTAGGTAGGCTGCCTTTTCCATCACCTTGCTTATGCCTCCTTAATACGGAGTATTGCAAGTCCAACCTACTGTTTCATATTTGACAATATAGGCTGACCATATAAGCTTTTGAGGTAATGAGAAAAGACGGACAATTCATTTATCCTTCAATAGAAATAAGAGGCACACAATCAAATTTGGATACTCCTTTATTGTCTTGATCTCAATACTCTAAGTCTCAATATTTTGAATAGTCAAATGGCAGACGACGGTAAAAATCCATGTCCTCTTTTATAGGTTCGTGTAGTTCAAAAGTTGGATTTGTCGGTACAGTAGTTAAAGGTTAATCCAAAGGAATTAGTAACAAGAAAATGTTCTCACTTTACCTTTTAACCCCTTTAAATAAGCTCCAAATACTTTGTACTGAAACTTTTGAGATAGTACCGCTTGCACTGTACATATAGTTTGTGCCACCACTACATAGTGGTGTAACCACGATTGAGTAATTTAACTTATTGAAGCCACTTAAAAGATTTACAGCAAATCTTGTGTCCACTTTAAGGCACCCAAGATCAATTCAATTATTCTCTTGCCTACTTCATAGAGAATTTCTGGGATTATAGTTTAATTTCTTGTTTGACTTCACACAATGGAGTTTATGTTGCAATAAAAGTGTTTTCGCGGCAGAATGAAACCTTTGTAAAGGCAATATCCTGATCGACACATATATTATAGAGACCCCAGGCAACGTAAATATTCCCATTTGTTACTGCAAAGGCATTTCCTTTTGGATATTAATGGGTGAAATTGTTCCTTGTTGCACTAGATCTATGTAAAAACTGTTCGAAAACGCACTACTACGAGAAAGATTTTCGTGTGCGGTCAAAACCGGTTTTCGCGTGCGGGTGAGCAGCCCACCAGCACCCAGGGTCTGCAAAAAATCGCGATTTTGGCGTGCGGGTGGCGCACCAGCACGCGAAAATCAGATTTTCGCGTGCGGGTGCTTATGTCGCCTACACGGAAAAACAAAAATCTGAAAAAAACAAAATTTCAAAAAAAAATGAAAACCCCATAATCCTCCGGCAGCGGTGCGGCCTCCTCCTCCTCCTTGTCATTGCCGTCGTCGCTCGAGGACACCGCTCATGCCCTCGTTGGCAGCGGCCTCCGCGCTGCGCTCCGCCGGATCTGTGCTCCCTTCTGGTTGCACCACCACTAACGCCCCTCCCCTTCGCCGAATCTGGGGAGGGAAGGAAGGGGAGGGGAGGGGAGGCGGATCCCGCAGGGGGGGGGCGAGGGCGGCCTGCCGCCGGATCCATGCGGGGGTTGGCCGCCGCCCGCCGGATCCCACGCCTCCACCGCCGCCGTGCCGCCGCCGTCACCTACGCCTGCCGCTGCCATCGGAAGGAGAGGAGAGGGCACAGATGAGTGAGGCCACTATTGTTGACTGATAGAAGAAAAAGAGATAGAGAGGAGAGGAGAGATAGAGGGGAAAATTTAAAGTGGGTAAGAGGGAAAAGAGGGAGTGGGTATTTTTGCATGCGGCACTCTTAATAGGTCCACACGCAAAAATGCATATTTTCGCGTGCGGTCCATTTAAGAGGACTGCACAGAAAAATCGATTTTTTCTTGCGGTCCTCTTAAATGGACCACACGTGAAAATGAGCTTATTTTCCTAGACGCGACCAGTTATGGTCCATCTACAATCTAAATGGGTCGCTGTACAGAAAAATCGTTTTTCAGTAGTGACGAGAAGGGAAAAGAGTAGCAAGTGATAAGTCTAGATTAGGTATCTTTATCAAAATGTGTAGAAAGAGGGGAAACGCATGGAGATTTGGTATATAATCAACTTTTTTACTTTTACAAATTTCATATATGTCCAATTTTTACCCTTACGAGATTTATCTCCATATTAAAGTGATACATTATCAGCCTTAGAGTATGATGTCTCTAAAAATGATGTCTCAACCTCAAGGTTCCAAAAACCGTCCTAAACTTCTGAAGAAATTAAATGATAACTTCATGAGGAATACAATTCAGATCCCTAGTTTCGATCGGTTCATCCAGTACTTGATCCTCCCATTCATCCATTTGAATTCAACTTCTATATCAACCAAAAAGCTTAGAGTTGTATCTGATTTCCAGAGACCAACTTACCTAGTAAAACTACACATTCTGGTGAATGAAACCCGGTGGCTTCAATTGTTTTACAACTGAATGTACTCTTTTGCACCTTTAATGCATTTTGGACGGCCTTGAAATAGAAATAAGACGAAAAACCGTGGTTATTCGTTTGGATGCATGAGAGGGGTTGCTTTGGGAAATTTCAGGATTCTTTTGGCAATGTTGGCAAAATTTGAAGAGCTAAAAATGATAGAAGAAGGTATTTAAATAGGGAATATATCCTATGCACACAAGCTTCCCATGCACACCAACTAGCAAATGTCACAGAAAATTCTAGAAGAAAAATGGACACATACTTTGAATAGTATTACACCTATGTATGAAATATTATCTTCAAATTCATTATATTTTAGCCGTAACAAAAAAAGACAAATTTCTGACAAATTTTTACCCTTAAAATTGTTGTTACAGCTAAAATATAATGAATTTGAATATGGGACTTTGTAGATATGTGTAATACTATTAGGAGTAAATGTCTAATTTTTTTTTGTAGAATTTTTCATGACATTTGCTAGTTGGTATGCACGGAGTGTAGATGGAAGCTTATGCGCATAGCGTATGTTCCCATTTAAATAGGAGTAAATTACTCACAATACAAAATATGGAGAGTGAGTAGGATCTACAAAAGCTTGAGGGTTGTATAAACCATTTTTGCATGGCTATTGGACGTGCTTTCGGACTTTAAGAGGTGCC